ACGAAGTTATACGAGGGTCAGCCGATGTACAAGTCAGTGTTTTTATCCTCCCAGACAAGTCTGGTACCAATTAACCGACCCCGGAGGGATGGAAGGCTTGGTTGGTTGCGGCCGACCCAGGATTTGATCCCCGGACCGCGCGCATGGTAAGAAGCGCCACCTGCCACTACACCACTTTCGCCTTCTCCCAACATATTACATAGATATGCATATTTTATCGCCAAGGGAAAGCTGGAACTCACGGTGGACATTTGACAGCAGCGTAATCGGCACAGTCAACCTCGTACCTGAAATTACGGTCACTTTGGTCCCGAGAACTTACTTTCGCATTTTGAACACTTACCGGACCATGATTCTGAACGATCCGAACTGGTAACCGACTAGCTGGATAAATGGTCCAGTGGCATGAGCTCCTCGCGGCCGGGTCATTTTTCGCTTCAAGTTTTGATCGAATGTGCAGTGACCAATTTCCATGAGGTCGGAAGCTTCTTTCCTGAATCACAACGGCTTTAAAAACGTGACAGCTTCACAGTGGTTCCGCGATCTATCATCAAAACTCCACTTACCTCGTGAGAATGCAAGTCTTGCCTACCCGTTCACAATCGATCCGAAACAGTCCCTCTCCGGCCTCCTGAATCAGGTGAATTTCTTAAATGGAGTACAAAGCTTTGAAAGCAGAATAGCGGGTGGTTTGGAAAGCCTCGCCGCTTCTAGTGGCTCAATTGTGAATACTTGGTCTATTGAAAACTTTTACGAAACTGCTATCATTTATACATCGCTAGAAAGCGTGTTGGAGAAGGTACCAAGTTTCACTGCAACGGACAAGGCACCGAGCTGGTTAGGATAAAAGGATAAAGCATTTGCCGTTGATCAATCCCTTTTTGGGATGCGGCACGCATTCTACTTCCATTTGTACATTCGTAGTGGCGTTTGAATGCGATGTGGCCTATACAATGACTTGCGGGGGCCAGCCGATGTCAGTGTTTTTATCCTCCCAGACAAGTCTGGTACCAATTAACCGACCCCGGAGGGATGGAAGGCTTGGTTGGCCCGGGCGACTCACGACCCAGGATTTGATCCCCGGACCGCTCGCGTGGTAAGCGTGCCACTTGCCACTACACCACTTCCGCCCTCACCAAGCTGGTTAGCGTGGCTAAAGCGGTAGAAGCTCCACAAGTTTGCCCTCCGCTGTGAACAAGACCAGCGATCAAAGGGCCTTTGTATGGAAAGATCAAGACTATTGATCACACCGTTAATGCTCGCCAGCCATTTGCACGGAAAAAGGGAAGAATATGTTCGATTAAGCCTCGATTATGGGGTCAGAGGTCGATCCTGGAGAAAATTACCTAGCTGTGTTAGGTCTGCAATACCGTAGGTCTAGGGGGTGCAAAAGAGGCTTACAAAGGGGGTCTTTCAGGACATGGAGCTTTTTTTCAAAATGGTTTCTGAATGTTGTAGAGGCTCATGTGAGGAACACAGAACCATGGATCCATTTTTCCTGAACGCCCCCAGGAATGTCAAAACAGTGGTGAAGAAATGGTCCAAAGTTCGATCCTCCGTGATGACAAATTTTTGCAATCATGGCCTTTGACCTGGCCGAAGCCCAGCGGTCTACAGCTTGTTATGCAAGAAGGACCACACTTTTTACTGGTTATCCACTGGTTTGAAAAGGAAGCTCTAAATAGCTTGCTCACATACGTGAGCTTCGAGTTTATAAGAAATATTTCCATTTTTTGGAGCACCAAGGAGAGCATCGGTAATTATTTCGGATTTTTGAAAACGGACGTGACTCATAGCTTTCTAATCCTTTTAACAAAACTGCGGATTGCTGTAATTGTTTCCCGCAGAGTTGCTTTGCCCCTTCGTAGAAATTATTTATTTGAACTTTTTCAATAAAGTGCAGACTCACCTGACAAAGGCGAAGAGTTTTTGTAGATTCACAGCGTCCAGTGATGAAATCATACTTGCCAAAATCAATCGGTTTTCGTTTTTTGTCGGCGAAAAGTTTAGCAGCAATGATGGCAGCATCCAGTGATCCATCACGAACCTCAAAGCATGATTTCTTCAGTAAAAGACGGATTGTCTGGGTGGGTGGTCTTGCAGCTTTTGATAAGGTGGAGGAGAAAGAAAGAGAGTTTAAGAAAGGCACTGACTAAAATGTCCACCGTTAGAGAAAATTGCAAATTGCGTCCTGAGAGTCCTGGAGAATTTTGATGCTCTTTCGACGACTTCTGCGTATTGAATATTAAGAGAAGGATAGCTTAAAAAGCAGGATCAAGTATGAGTCATGGGAAGAACCAGGCCAGGACGACTCCGAATGGGTGTCCCCAACAGGCCCACCGCGCGGCGAAGGAAGAGACGCAGACGCGGCAAAGGGACGAGTCGCAGCGCATACTGTAGCGGTTAGGCGTCAGGTTAAAGAGAGTGTACCATACTACGTCTCATATCGCACAGCACGCGCTGCAACTCGTCTCTTTGCCGCATCTGCGTCTCTTGCTTCGCCGCGCGGTGGGCCTCTTGGGGGACACCCCGCTCCGCTGCTATGCATTGTTCTCCTACCCCTTCTCCTGGTCATTCTTATAGTCATATCCATGATGATGAGCACAGTCTAGTCGTGCTCCTATCACCTCACCACTCCAACAGCTCTACCCTACTTCTTCAACCATCCCAAAGTCATCAAAAGGAGCAGCTGTGGGGGATACTCGAAAGCGGTGGCATAAAATTGTGAAGCTTCAACATTATCCCAGTCTTCCTCATCATCCGAAGAAATTTCCTTTTCTTGAAAGCCCGATGATTCAATTCATAAAGTAGATTGCTATTGCAGCGATTAAAAATATCGGAGGGAGAACTCTGATCGATGGATCGTTGACGCAAGAGAGCCAGCGGCAAATGGCGCCACTATCACACAGATGGTTTATGGTTAGAATAATGATATTATGAATCGACTCAGCCCAACCGAGCCTTCCTTTTTTCCCTGGGATCAGCAGTGGCGCATAGATTAATGTAAAACGAAACAAATACTGACTGATTGCCGGAACCTCTCGCGCCTTACCTGAGTTAAATTTGCAGGTTCATTGGCAGCCTACGGGTACTTTTTTAGTGGACCGCATGTTCTGACAAGGAACCTATTATACATGTGAATTCTGTTATTTGGAAAAATTTCGACGTGTTAAAAGCAAAATCAACAAAGGAGCTTGGTCAAACGGTGACCAACGGGGGTGGAAATGTTTTTGAAGATGGTTCACTGTGCAATATTTGTCAAGAGAGTCAAGAATCTTTTTTTGACAGGAAGGCGGGGGGTGTGAGACTTAGGGAATTCCTAAACTTGAACTTCTCAAAGTCATACCTGCACTAACACGGCCGATTAATGAACGTATTGTTTGGGAGTGAAGGCTGGCCGTCGATATGTTGAGGCCGATGCAGCATAGCGCCACCATGTTTAGGTGAAGAACCCCAAATGGACCTCAATGGCGACCCTTTCAGAAAGGAGGAGGCTTATGCTTTACTAAGAATTGAAGAAATCAAATCTGTATTCACCCAATGGTTGGTCGTGATCGAAAGACTTTATGAACTTCGAGCGGCGAGGTTCTAGTGGATTATAATGGCTCGTGACAAGGATGGATGGGGAGCACCTGCTAGCACCCTCGGGTGGTCGTGCGAGAGGGCCAGTGATCGCTGTGAAACGGCGCTAATCACTCCATTGTGGACAGCGTCTCAAGCGCTAAGGATTCTTCAGCGATAGGGATAGGAATTCCAATAGCACCCTCATTCGAAGTTACCTTTGGTGAGGCAGGAGGAATGGTCTATAAATAGCCACATATTTAGTCAGTTCGCTGCAACTGAATCAGTGGCCCATCCACTCTTAGAGCTCCTCTCCTACTATCCCCTAGTTTGGGGGAGGTCAGCCCTAGCCATTCCTACAATCAAGCGTGGCAATTGAGCTATCTTTAGTCCGGAAATGACCTTGCTCTTCTCCATTCCAGGCAGTTTCACCGTCTCTATAGCTACCGACGAATTCATTTTGGTGAACTCGTTCCCTTTAAGCTCACAACGTTCTTGATCTTTATCGTCGAAGCTGTAGGGCCAAATGGAAACCCCTAACGCCATTTTCACACTGGTTGCCCAATTCTTTCCTGATTCTCAAGCTTGACATGCGCCGCTGAAAAGTAGCGCCCCATTTGATGTCAGGAGGCTCTAACAAATCCCCTGTCTCTGTGAATTCATTAAAATTGACCTCAGTGGAAACCACCAGTTGTAGCAGGTCGTAATGATCTGAGGGATTATCACTCGATATCTCTAATCTCTATTGTTGTGGGTACTAATGAACAGCTGCTCTTGCGGGGGTTCGAACAAGGTGGAACTGCATGGATAAATCATTCCCAAAGGTACATGGGTAAATGTCATAGAATAACACTTGGCTGAAGATGATGTCAAGTGCCCCGAGAGTGCACAAAGATTTCTGCAGGACCGGGTTCACCCAAATTAATTAGTCCTCCTAGGGTTGATTAATATTTACAACTATTGAAAGTGGTTAGGTGTTGTGGATGAAGCGAAACCAAGGTTTTGTGAAGGTTACGTTGTTTGTTTACCACTGACAGGAGGCGAGCAGGCCTAGAGCGCCTCCCTGGCTTCACAGAAAATCAACAGGCAGAGTGAGAGGTACCAGGCGCTAGGCGCTTCGTTAGAAGCTGTGTGCTGTATATTTATTAAATATCGAATGATACAGGTAAAAAATATGATTTTCTAAAGCGGTAACGCAAAACATTGCTTTCAGTTCCATATGAATGTTGGGTTATGAACAAAATTTTCGCCCCAGGCGAGACTCGAACCCCTACCTCCCGCTCACGGGCGAAAGCTTTGTTCATAAACCGAAATTCTTGCGAAACTTCCGCAAGATGAGCTGCGGTCGAATACAGCAGGTAACAACCAAAAGCTTGCTAACAGCACTTAACCTTCAGATGATTTACATCATAAATGATGACTCCATGATCCTGCTGCAGCTTACCTCCAGGCCAAAAGAACGACTCGACTGGCATGCCGGGTACCTATAAAAAAGAGTTAAGTAAAGGGATATGTGCGCAACTGGAAAAGATCTCCACTTAGTTACTATGTAAAAGCAAAGGGTGAAGGTGCCGATGTCATGAGACGCAATGTAGTTCACTTGTTCATAGGATAGAGGTCATGCCAAAAGTACGGTATCCTCTTTCTGCGAGACTGACACTCAAATCTTAGGAGAGCTGATAGGCAGAGCGGTCCAGGCCACTTCCCATTGCTACTTACCCCGGAATTGAGAACAAAATTAGCTAACCTATTGCTTCTTGTTGTTGTTTGTTGACTCAAAGAAAAATTCAAAGAAAAAATGAAAATTTGAAGAAACACTTCATCATAAAAAACAACGCACGCGTGGATCTGCTCTGTTCTCGCCGGAAATAAATCTATGAGATCTTTCAATAGTTTAGTGAGGTCGTGTGAATATTTATACAAAAGCTTTTGGACAAGGCTGGTTAGCTATTCATTGTTTATGCCGGATAGGTCTTCGAATTAGTTACAGGTTCGTGTGGAAGACGAAGACGCGGCGTATGCGAAGAGTGTTGGTCGAAGTTTTTTACACTTGCCAATTTGATGACTGGAGCTGCCTATGCTTATCTTCTGAGGTGCTTATGTTCTTTCTTTCTGTTTTTTTTGTTGCGAGCAACACCTTTGATTTAATTTCTTGCCTAGGCTAAGTAATCCTTCTTCTTTGGCGCTGCTAACAGTTGGCATCATTCTACTCAAAGATATCAAAATTAAAGCAGTTATTATACTGTATACAACACATAATATGCTTATTATGTCGTTGATCTAGGAAGGTACGGTAATCTGTCTGCCTATTAATTCTCTGATGGCTCATAATCACGAAGACCTCGTAGGGAAAGTGGTACATTAGGCCGGATAAGCCTTGAAGTGGTTTCCACGTTTTTGTGCTCCGAGGAAGGCGAAAAGGCGTTAGAACCGTTAAAAGTCTACAATTGTTGTTTTAGCTGTAGCTGTAGTTATGAAATCCAGCAAAGAAATTCTTGGTACTTATTCGTATTTATTTAAGGTTTGCGAATACTACTGCCCGGTTATATAAGAAGAAATACACTTAATATACCATTTGAATCCGGAGGTCAAAGAAGCCTGCACTGCATACTCTACAACATAAGTGACGACGACCTCAAGAAATCTGCTAACTTACAGTTTATAGTGATAGCTGATAGTTGATAAATGATTGTTGTAATTAGTGACAAGTTGACAGAATACAACTGCGAGGGCTGATACTATAGTTTCGTTGGCAGAAAATCTATTAAATTTCGTGGAGGCCTCGTCACTTATGTTGTGAAGTCTGCAGTGGACAGGCATCCGGTCCCCGGATAGAGGGTATTTTTTCCTTTTCATATAATGCGAATTACTACCACAAACATTTTTTAACCTTTCGCATCTCTGGATGGCCTTATTATTCCCAGTTCACGACAAGTTGTGTTGCTGCCCTTCTATAGTTTCCTGAGGAGGTACAGAAAAAAAAGATTCAGGGAAAAACCCAAGGTCCAGATCCAGAATTACAGTTGAGTTGAAATAGGTCTGATTCAGGTTTCAGAATTTCATATCATTCCTTCTCTGGTTGATTGAGAAGAAAAAACGGTAAGAAAAAACCTTACAAGAATTGTGCTGGTGTCCTCCGTGAGAAGCCATTGATAGCTCCCAAGCCGATCGACATATTTGGTACTGGTTGGTCCACCTTTTCCAGCAAGATTTACTAGTGGCAATAGACCGTACGGTTCCTCTTCCAACCCTTCGAATAACCAAAAGCCGTCGGTCATCTGTAAATCCGTAAATCAATTTTCACCTTATCATTCATAATCTCCATCTGGTAATTGCTCAAAAAATCAGTGATGCTATCAATTCATAGGACAATGTGGGTACAGAAAGAGAAGGCTGTGGCAGATGACAAAGTAAAACATCATTCTGCAGATCCAGCTGAGAAGCTGCTGAAAAAGTCTGATTAAATTTCGATGACATCTGATATTAGCTAAAGATACGGGTGAGCATAAAGGCGGATGAGAGTCGATACTGCGGAGGAGGGGCTTTTGTTACACCGGCATCTGGTGAAAGTGCGGAATACACAAGCTGGCGATTTCGGAGTGGTCTGAAATGGGTCGCCAGAGGTAAGCGGAACCTGCTGGGCGGTTATGATGTCATGCTTAGAAGTAACTATTATTCTAGACATCAGCATCTTATGTTAGACTCTTTACAATGTCAGTTTGTTCATGCATAGCGATTATATAACGATAAAAACCGTTGAGCATGGGCTCGATGACTCATGCCTATGTTATGGGGAACATGGGAACTGGAGTTGTTCAGAGTGATGTGGGCTACGTGAAGCGAACCGTTGGTCCGAGCAGAGCGATGCGCTGAAAAGTTGCGGCCACTTTACAGTGGCGATACGGGCGGCTGTCGCAGGTGGGAGGCAACAAAAACATAACTCAACATGCGTCATAAAATATTCAAGTCAAAACGTCATCCACAAATCCCAAAACTGTCACCTCCTTACTGTGCCATCTACACCCAACAGTTATTATTTATTTAGTTAGCTGGATGTCTCCAGATAGGATTTTGATGTGATCTTTTCAAAAGCGTCTCCTTCTCCACGGTGCTTATTCCCATTTTTGTTTCGGTCGCCAACGGATCGGAATGCAAACGATTTTTTCTATTCGCGATATCGTAATTCTCCGGGTAGAGTTCACTAACAGGAGAACGAATTCCTTATCTGAGGATTATTATATATAGTAGCTTGAGGTGACTCCAACTGCTATCAAATCGTAAACATTCATCCAAACTTTCACTAAGTTATTGAAACAATACCAAGATGGCAATAACATTTATTCGGCCTGAGTTTTGACCTTGTGGCCTTCGTCAGAGCCTTAACAAGAGACCGGGCTTGATGTCGACCACATTCAGAAACGGAGTTATGAAGCGGAACAGCTCAGAGGTAGTACTCTGCTTTCTCGAATAAGAGTTTGTGAGAAGATTCCTTCGCAAGTTTATTTCTGTGATCTCGTGTGTAACATCATATCAACACAAACGATTTTCCAGTACGGGTGTATTGGTTCCACCGTAATCCATGCTGCATTCGAGTGCGCGATTGAATACTGGAACACGCAATATAACCAGAGCACGGGTAACGAAGCTCTTTATCAGCCTAAGCCTGGAGCAGTGAACGTTTTTTTTTTTTTTTTGCAAAAATTCGTGTCACCCGGGGAGGTAGCTGACACATCTCGCGTGGCGCACAAGGGAGAGACACTACGCGCCGCATCTTGCGGAGCAGAATGCCCCACCTCGGCACACTTCCTTGCGGCTGAATGAACATACTCTTCTACAGCCATGGTGCTCCGTACAGTTGGTGTCCGTATTCTCGTCTTGGTTAGCGTCATGAGCGCACAGAGAAAATGACAAGAGGGCCCGTCGAAATCAAGTCGATGCGTGTGACCCTGCGCTTTCCACGGTGAACTTGGATACGGTGGGTGCTATTCAACAATACTGACAACTTGCCTCTGCATTCCCGCATTACTTCGTGGCTCATGTGGCGCTCACGCCACGCGTTTTCGCTCAGAACGATTGTGATATTTATCACGGCGTCAAATTACCATGCAAAGCAATTTTTTAAGCAAAATCCGAGAAGTTGACTTAACCTCAATGAAGTTGACCAGGGAACAGTGAGCGCACTTGTCTGCAACTGCTCGTAAACTCTTCTAGCAGGCAATTCTAGGCAAGCAGTGATGGTAGAGCTTGTATAGCAATCTCTTCAGAAATGGTGTAAACAAAAACAGTGGGACACCCCGCAAAGGAACGATCCTGCGATTTCTCACTTTAGAGTACGGACGACTACCGCTGAGCTGTTCGCTTCATAACTCTGATCGGAGATCACATATTCGGAATGTAGATTAGGTTAGGAGGGCGTATCCAGGGATAAAGACTCATTTTCAATGGTCACGGCGACCTGGAATCTTCTCCTTGTAAGATTGTATATTGTTTATGGTGTGTTTCATAGAAGGATTTGATGCCGAGCATTTTCTATGTATCTATCTAGTTTTTCTATGTATCTATTTCTTTCTTTTCTTTGTGAACGCTCTGCAAGGCTACACAGTGTCTGAACGTTCCCACCTTTGACCTAATTAGATTTATTATCGGAAGAAGGAGTTCGTGAAAGGGCTGAATTGCTGTAGTGGAATGTGGCGTTGGACGGATCGCCTACAGACGAGGGATCAATTCCTTAATCTGCCTCGTATAGGCCACCAAGGCTTCCATGCCTCTGGGCGTTCAAATGGTGGGAGGTTTGCCTGGGTAGATAAAGCACGTTGCCTTGACTGATCCCGCAAGTCTATACATATACAACATATGTATAAGCTGCAGCTCCACACTATTCATATACGTCAAGTCACCTTCAAATGCTGCTGAGATACAGAATGGAAACTGAAGGCGTGGCGCATCCAAAAGGTATTCATTGAAGCGGAATGCTTCCCAATTTATGGTTCCCTTTTCAAAAAGAGCAAATCTATGGGTGTAGAAGCACAAAAATAAACAATTCTAGGATAAAAATCAAACAAATCTAGCTGGAATTCGTGAAGATTGGTGAGACCAAGAGGCTTCATCGGGGCAAGCGGTATGTTTTGTGTTTTAAGATTTTTTACCCCTCGCGACAATCGCCTGGCTTCCCATAAGATTTCATTGATTATACGCCGAAGTATTAGAAAAAGGCTCGTATAAGATCTTGGCTGCGGTCTTGCTGTTATCTATCGATTCCTAATGCTAACATTTAGCCACAGCATGGAGTCGGAATCAATGTACTTTGACATGGAAAATCCTCAAAATACTTGCCTCTTTGCCTTAGGAATAATTGCAGAGAGGAAAAAAAGATACTGGCTCCGTCTTCTATTAGGTCGGTCCATAAGTCTTGCAACAAACTACATTTAATGCTATAGAATTTTAGGGAGAACTCCTGAAAATCCGCAACATATTTCCTGACGTAGCATCAACCTTTGCAATTTCAGCCAACGGTCCAGCTCGTTGTCTGCTTACTTATTATGATATTTTACACCGATTTCGCGAGAGGGCTCTCGGTGCCCTTAATTTTTACGAGTACTGCTTGGAATGTTTTCAAGATCAGACCAAGGATTTGGCCAGAAGATAGGCGAGGGCAATGCTCTTCTCAAACCACAGTGCAACGGCGCTTCACTCTGCTCAGCGTTGACTTTTTTATTTGAAAATAACCCACACTCCAACCACCCTGTGACTGACAATCACGATGCTCTATCTGACGCCGTTGAAAAGGGATCTGGATAGAGTATCGATCATTTGCTAGAGCGATTCCGATGCGACAAGGAGACAGCACTGTGGCATCTCCAAAGACTTGTGAAGATCCGAAAATATAGAGTTTGGTCCCCACGTGCCTTGAGCCCGATTCAGCTCCAAACACGATCTGACACCGTTATGTTCAAGTCGACTTACTAGGGATTCTACGATTGACCATCCATCACATTTGCCGAAGATGAGGAGTGGGTACAGTTTACTAACAAATGAACAAGCGGCGGTAGTCCAGCTCAAACGCTTCGGGAGATCTTATTGCTTAAGTTCAACCTCGTCCAAGTAGGGCCTTCTCGGATTTTTGGTGGAACACGGAGAGGAGTTAAGCTCTGGAAACCCCTCCGTGTAGATGTCGCAGTCAACGCGAAAGTCAACTATCCACAGCTCGAATGCAACGCTTTAATACGAAAGAAAAACAAGGCAAAGTTTGCTTTTTGTATGACACCGTTGAAAAACCTCTTGCTAAGAAAATTCAGGAAAATTTCGAGACTCTGGGACGGAGAGTTCTTCCGTATTCACGTTATAGCCCTGACCTCGAGGCAAATAATGCCCTTCTGCTCCCCTCTCCAAACCATCTCCTAGAGAAGAAAGCTCATCCTAACTATGATGATGTCAAAATCGACATCTGATCTTTCTTCGATCAGAATTCAGTAGAGTCCTACAAGGGAGGCATCGAGCAGCTACTAGTGTGTTGGCAATAGGTTGTAGATATTGATGGAGGGTAGCATGCCGGATGAATGGAACAAAAAGATAATGAAAATATTAAATTCAAAATTCGGCCAGTTTGTTGCAAGACTTATGGACCGACCTAATACTTAATTGTAAATTATTAATTATAATTTTGCTATCGAGGGAAGGAAGCTATCCCAAGCAACGTTAACGCGACCACCAATACCACATGAGAGAGCATGAGAGGGTTTTTCGTGGGCTGTTACGCAGTGTTTTTGAAGTCCTCCTGAAGAGCTCCGCTAAGAAATGAGGCCGACTTGTGGAGCAAAGAACGTGATTTTTTCTAAGGCTACGATTGACGCCTCTCTCAATTTCTCAAGCGTCATATTCGTTAAGCAGGTTATTTTTTAGAGCATGATTACAAAAACGCAAAATAGGAGTTTGAGCGTGATGTATCGTGTGTACGATTGGCAGTGCATTGGAAACGTTATTGTGATCTGAACATGGCTTAGGGGAAATCAACAATCAACTTGATGAGGTTTTTAAACTGATAGACACCTATTTCCTCTCGAGAAACCCGAGACGTCTGTGCTCCTGCACGGAGTCAACATTAAACCATCCCCCCTAACTTATGTAGATCTCGAGAAAAAAAAAATAAGTACTACAGAGATGCAGGGAACTTGGTTGATTGGCCAACACGTTAGCGCTGCTCAAAAAATTAAAAGACACAGTTCAGTGAGACTAGAGCCATGGTTATCTACGAGTAGAATGGAAGCTCTATTGCGTCACA